TGAGAGATTTTAAATTTGTCAACTGGTAGGTATATAACGCAAGTAAAGTTACTATTCTCTTGATGCCAAGAAGGTCATATGATCACTGTCTTCGGCTTTCAGCATTTACGAGACCTCGACTGATTTAACCAAGTTATAATCGTTAAATTCTAGACGACGTCGAGGTTAAATCCGAGTTTTCCGAGAGACGCTACGCAGAAATGTCGAGTGAAGCGAGATATTTTTGGGTCTCAGCTCGAGGTTGCCCTCGATCTTCACTGAAGCTTGGCTTAATGGACAGGCTTCAGTGATCAGCATATCGCCATGGTCATATAACATCCCTAGGTATGTATTTCAGGTGAGATAGCAATCTGCATGGGGCGTAACTTCATCCCCGAATCATGGAAATTATATATAGGGGCCTAACACTAAGTGAGCAAAAACAAAAAAAGGGAAAAACTTAATTAAGAAAATTATGGTCTGGATTTTTATTTTGGAAGCTCTATGTGAAAACAACTATGAAAGTTTGACGGAGATATGCTGAGACGCATAAAAAAGTTGCCCTTATCGTTGTAAAATAATTTTAGCATCCCAGTACTTCTCTGAATTGAGTTTTTCTTTTCTTTCTTTTTTTTTTACCATTTTCGACCATTTTGACCGTCTTCCGACAGAAAAAATTAGACACCCGTCAATCCGGAAGACCCAGAAGACGCAGAGGCCATACGGAGCATATATTTGAAAAGAACGTTTTTTTTAAGCAAAAAGACAAAGGCATCTTAAACTTTGGGAAATGATTGTGCATATACTGAGGTTTATGTCCAGCAATCCTCTTGAAATTTGATGGGTCTTTGTATGAAATTAAATTACTTTTTTGGGTCCATTTTATTTATTTTTTTATTTTTTTTTATTTTATTATTATTATTTTTTATTTATTTATTTATTTATTTATTTATTTATTTTTTGGAGGAGGGGTCACCCTGTACCAAGTGTACTCATCACGCAGAAACTTGGGCAAAAGAAGCACAGGCCAAGATAAACAAGGGAAGCCACTTCGGTACCATTGTCCTCAACAAACATAATGGGAACACCTGGGCGTATTGAACAGTATACACTTTTAATTCAACAGGTAAGATACGGCTTTGGAATTTATCAGTTACCTGTTTTTGATGATTCATTATTTGTTTCAGTTTATCTAGGCGAAGGACTAGTTGAGATAACCACTAAACAACCTAGAATTTATCCATTGCCACGCAGGACTTGCATGCCAAATAACATGCACGATTAAACCAAGCCGAAGAAAAAAACTACTCTCTACCATGGCCGCAAATTATTTATGTTTTTTTTTTCTCCAAGGCGAGTGGAGAAATCTATTGAGGTGACCCTGGTAGAGGGTACAAAAATGCTGTATCTATGCAAAAGTGGTTGCAAATGACATACAGCGGTAGTATTTTTGGAAGTCAGAAATGATTTATTCAAGTCCCATACAGATTACGATGTCTTAAACCATGTACTTGTATGTATATATACTGTACTAGTAACTATATATGTTGAAGGTTTTGGTTAAGTTACCAGTTTATGATTTGTTAACAACGGCAGTATTTGAAAGAGCTGGATTTAGCCATGCATTTATTTTTGAGCTGGATTTAGCCATGCATTTATTTTTGAATGTATTCATTCATTTTCTGCAAGCTTAGCTTTGATTGCTGAGATCATGTATGGCATACGGATGCACATTAACCAGTAGGACGGCTATGTTTGGTTCCAGGGTAGAAAGTCACGACACACGCCTCATAACGTTTGTTTAATTTGAATTTCTCAAAAGACAAGCATACTAATATGTGTTTGCGTGTTCGAATATCTTTGAAAAAAGCAACTCCGGCGTTTGTCAATAACTAAATCTTATGTTACCCATTAGTGAACGAAATGTAAGGTCATCATCATTTGCCTTCTCTTAAAGGTGTTAAGACGTTTTCGAAGAATGTTCCAGTCAGGCGACTCATCCATAACACAAAAACAGACATAATGATGAATACATTCATAATAATTGTCACTTTCAAGCATTGTATTACTCTTACAAGTACATGCAGTTTTTTCAAATCATGATCTTAGTTAGTCCAAGCGAAATTATCGCTAAATGGGACTGGTATCCGCAACATGACACTGCAACTAATAATTATCCGGTAAAGCAGGGTCGGGATGGTTAGGGAAGATCTCACAAGGAAAGGCTTGCCCCCACTGGAACACGTTAGTCATGCCGCACCTGGCCATGTGGTTCCGTGAGCTTGGAGGGGGCAGATATCTGCATGACGTGCAAGAGTCACGTTGCCAAATATCCGGCTCCCATTCTCGTTCAGGGGTAAGGTAAGCCTTGAAAAATAACAAGCGAAGTTTATAATTCTATTTCAGACTGCTAATGCGATATTTGAATAATTTCTCGAAATCTTAATAATTGATTATGTCCGTCGAGCAATGACATGAAATACGCCCCATTTTTTATTTCTGTCATTTATTCACTCCTTATTTATGTATCATTTCTCTCAATTTGTGCTTAATTTCAAATTCAAATTAAAAGCAAACTTACTGAACAAAATGAGTTGTAAAGCAATACCTTAATATCACAGACAAAGGAAAACAAAAAAATCTCTCACACACACAAACACAGTGAAGCTCATTATATACAATATCAAAGCGTGATGCCGCGTACCTTCACATCAAACCAGCCTTCCCAAGTTCTGGAACAGTCCATGAGCACGTCCAGCATCCAGTAGTGATCTCCCCACTTGTTCCGCGGGGTGTAACCGAAACCGTCATACTCAGCCTTAAGGTTGTCATACTTGCTGTGATATACAAAGGTGAAAATATAACAGACTTATTAACAAAATTTTAAAAAGCAGTTAAACCACCCCTTACAACTAAACACTGAGCGACATGCAGTAGTAAAATTAAAATGCACGTTTTATTCCTATTGTTTGTTCGTTTAGAAAATCACTATATCAAATACACTGATGCACAAAAATCAAACCAAACGGCTTTCAAAATACCAGTTCACCTCCTTCTTGGTCGTAGAGCAAGTCTTAACACAAATAAGAAATAAAGAAAAATGTTATCATACATAATACTCACAAACCGTAATAGCAAAGTAAATCTCTAGGCTTGCACCATCTTCCTCTCGAATAGAATCCATTAGTCGTCCACATCATAGGTGTACCTTGAGGCGGGAAATTGATTGACTCCACCATGCCCTGGCCCCACTCTGGGCCATACCAGTCCAGAAAATTGTCCCCCTCACTCCATGTTTTGTATTTCCCGCTGCTAGTTGTCCAGATGTGCCGAATGGGGATGCTGCACGGGTCAACAGTGGCGTTGTGGACACAGTTCGGCGGCTTACTGTTATCTAGACCTACAGGTGAGAGAGGGATTTACTTCTTTGTAATTTATCGTTTTTTTTTCGAATTCAAATATCCTGTTATGTTATAAATTATTTCTCTTTTTATGGGAATGTACGGTATAACGAGAAGTATTGATATAGAGGACGGTGAAATTTCTTCAACAGTCTTATTTGAAACATTAATAAAAAAACAGGTTAATACAATGATATACCAATTATGAACTTCGCAAACTACTTATACTCATAAGTCGTGTGCCCATGGGCCTGTCAATCGCAAAATAAGTAACCAAAAATGCACTAACCTCCTCGAAGAAAAACATACTGTGAGGGTGACGTCTCTTTGTGGATGAATATGATGGTCCTTTGCCAGTCACTGTTAATGTTAAGTGAGAAATACGGCAGGTTGATATGTATTTACAAAGTTGGCGGCAAAACAAAAATGCGTCAATCCTACTTGTACGCAGATATGGAGCACGTGCACTTGTAAAAACATATCCTTCATATAAATGAAAATAGCTTGCATTTTAATGACATTTGAGAGTTAGTCAGCACTTGCATCAAACTAATCGTGTGAAAAATATTTTATTACCGTCTCAGTTATAGACTTGTTAAAGTTTTTGAAGTTACTGTACACGTTAAGAAGCAAGCACATGTATTTCACAAAATCACCATACTGCGTTGACGCTTCTGAACGATGGTGTTAATGGCGACATGACAGAATTCCCATTCACACCTTTTACCTGTACTAAGTGTACTCACCTCGGAGGAAGTTGGGCAGTAGAAGCACAGGCCAAGACCAACAAAGCAAGAACACTCGGTACCATTGTCTTCAACGAACGTAATATAGTTATATCACTTAAGTGCACTGAACAGTGTGCGGGTTTTATCCAACAGCTAGGATTCTACTTTGGATTTTATCAGTTATCTATACAAACAACCTGTTTTTGATGATTCAATATTTGTTACAGATGATCTAGGTGTAGGACTAGCTGAGATAACCACTGAGTAACCTCAAATTTAGTGTTTGCCATGCCACACGCGCAGAACTTGCATGCCAAATAACATGCACGAGGAAACCAACCCGGAGAGAATAATATTCTCTACCAGGGCAGCAAAATAAATATGGGCACTTTTATAAAACGCGAGTACATAAATGTGCCATGAATTAGCCTGAGACATACACACAATGGACAATAAAAGTGTCACCCCTACTGAACCAATACTTTGGGGTAGATAAATGACTGCGGAATGATATGCTATCATTTTATTAACATCAAATTTCACAAAAAAAACACAAAAGGTAGACCAGGCATTTTAACTTCTCAAGATCTGCCTACTTTGATTACTGATTACTTGATTATTATTTGATTACTCTGATTCAAGGGGAGACACTTCTATTGTCCATTGTGTGTATCTGTGAATATCTATTGAAAAATCAATCTGTGGCCGTGGAAGAGAATAGAAAAATGCTGTAACTAAAGAAGAGTTGATAATTTATAGCGGTAACAATTTTGAAAGTCAGAAATGGATTTATTTATTTATTCATTTTTGTCAGTTCTCTCAAGGTGTAGGTTCGATTGCTTAAACGCTGTATATAGTGCAGTTTTAAAACCTTTTTTTTTGGGGGGGGGGGGAAGAGCTGGATTTATTCATTTATGCATTCATTTTGTGAAAGCGTAGCTTTGATTGCTGTGGCTGAGACCTTGTATGGCATGTAGATGTACATTTACCGGTAAGTCGACCATTACAATATTCAAAGGAAAAACAGTACTCTCAAAGAGGCCCTAACATGACTAGCACTCTTACAAACAAATGAGCATAATGAACAAAAATGTATCAGAATCTTTTATTAATTTCTAATTTTAAATTGACTTTTCCCAATTCATACTTCATTTCAATTTTTTCGTTTCTTAGTCCGTTTATAACACTATTCAACTGTCGATTTCCGAACAACTTCCTCTGTCTATTTCCCACTGGACATGTACCCCTGTCTGGTCGTCCGTGGACTACTGGTGACCGTGCTGGGCAAAGCAGGGTCAGGGTCGTTAGGGTAGATCTCACAAGGAAGGGTTTGCCCCCACTCGAACACGTTAGTCATGCCGCACCTGGCCATGTGGTTCCGTGAGCTTGGAGGGGGCAGATAGGTGCGTGACCTGCAAGAGCCCTTTTGCCAAATATCCGGCTCCCATTCTTGTTCAGGGGTTAGGTAAGCCTGGGAAAATAACAAATGAAATTGCTAATTCTATTTTGGTTTGTTACATGCGTTTTTGACTAATTTTTCAATATTTCAATTGTTAATTCTATCCGTCGACCAACGATGTTAAATATGCCTCATTTTTTATCATTTCTGTCAGATACCTTTTACTTTTTCTCAACAAAATGGGTTGTAAAACATGATGTCATTTTCAAAGATTAAACAAAACAAAAAATTTCTGAATGACACTCGCATCATTGTCGCGTACCTTCACATCAAACCAGCCGCTCCAAGTTCTGGAACAGTCCATGAGCACGTCCAGCATCCAGTAGTGATATCCCCACTTGTTCCGCGGGGTGTAACCGAAACCGTCGTTCTCAGCGCGAAAGTCGTCATACTTGCTGAATGTACAAAGGTGACAAAATTAAGCCGGATAAACAATCTGAAATCTTAATGCACGTTTTATCACAGTGATTGCTCAATTAGAAAGGCCCAGTATCAAATACACTGATGCATATTATATAAAGTAAATCTAAACGCACAGAGTCAATCGTAAAATCAAAATGTTTTAGTTCCAGTGATTGCTCAATTAGTAAAGTATAGTATCAAATACACTGATACACAAATACAAACAGCTGTCAAAATTCACTCCACCTCCTTCGTCGAGCAAGTCTATATAATAAATAAATAATAAAAATTATATATGCATAAAACTCACAAGGGATATCTGCAATTAAAATCACCCTGGGGGCACCACTCCGCTCGCGAGTACCGTCCATTAGTCGTCCACATCATGGGTGTTCCTTGGGCCGGGGTATACAGGGTGGTTGACCTCACGAAGCCCTGGCCCTGCTCTGGACCGTACCAGTCCAGGTAGTTGTCCCCCTGGCACCAGGTTTTGTATTTATACCCTAAGTAGTGACCACGGGTTGTCCAGATGTGCCGAATGGGGATGCTGCATGGGTCAACAGTGGCGTTGCGGACACAGTCCGCTCGTCTACTGTGATCTAGACCTACAGGTGAGGGAAGAAGTTACTGTTACTTAGCAATTTATCTTTTTTATTATTTTCGTATTCAATTATACATTCAGTGAGCATCTGCGGTATAACGATTAGTAGTGATATTAAGGCCAGTAAATTTCTTCAACAGTCCAATTTCCATCATGAAAATATTTACTTAAAAAGCAAGTCCAAATCACGATTTATCAATTATAAACTGCGCATACCTAATTCATGTGCACATGGGTCTGTTCAATACAAAATAATACACTTATTTTGTATAAACCGTACGTACCTCCTCGAAGAAAGACATACTGTGAGGGTGACGTCTCTTTGTGGATAAATATGATGGTCCTTTGCCAGTCACTGCTCATATAAAGTGAGAAAAAAAATATATATATATATCACGCGCATAAGCCAAGGTAAACAAAGATATCCTCAATGTCTACGCAAATATAGAGTTCGTACACATTATTACTTATCTTCAGCGCAGTGCATGAAAAGGGGTTGTATTTTCTATGGCATTAATTACCACACATCACTGTCATACATAAAGAGCATACCGGTGAATTAAATATGCATTCTCCTTTCTCTTTTATTCATCTGTCTCGAGGTTATACCGTAAACAGTTAGCCACAAGTACCAGGCCCGTGACCGAGGGGGGGTCGAAGTGTTTTAGAGAACTGCCCCTTTTGCTGGGAAAAAGTTTAACTCTGGTTACGTTTTGATCTAGGTACATAAAGTTTTCATGGTAAAAGGTACAAGTTTTCAGAAAAAAAGACTCCCCACTTTTGAAATCGCTGGCTACGGGCACACATGTATTCTCAATATCAAAACACTGCGATGATGATGATGATGATGATGGTAGTAATGGTAACATGGCATTTAGATAGCCAAAACGTGCAACTCACCTCGTAGAAACTTGGGCAGAAGAAGCACAAGCCAAGGCCACCAAGGCGAGAATACTCGGTACCATTGTCTTAGACAAACGTAATAGATATAACACTGAGGAATAATGAACGGCAGGTTTTATACAACAGGATACGACCTTGGTCCAAACTAATTGTCTAGACTAACATCCTGTTTTTGATGATTCAGTGTTTGTCACGGTTGATTGTGGTGAAGGAACAGCTGAGACCACTACTGAATAACCTTGAATTTATTAAAGGGATAACAGTTGTTAGATCTGACCAAAAGAGCAGATTATTTGGGGTAAACGACGATTTTTCCATATTTACCAATGGTTAAAAAACCCATTCTAACATCATAAGTCATAAGTAAGCCCACTTTTTTTAATATCTTAAGAGATGATAACCGAGGCATAGCCACTATGAAGGTCCACGTGACCTGCTGGCAAGCACAGATTCCAGAATAGCTGGGATAACTGCTGTTTTGGTGGTAAATTGTATTTTTCTTTATTTCAGGAAGCTGTTTACAATATATTTATTGTGAAATATGAATCCCGTACGAACATTTGTAATCCCTTTCACTGCCATACACTGTATAACACACGCACAACTTGCATGCCAAATAACATGCATGAGTTAACCAACCCGAAGAAAATACCCTATCAATGCAGAGGTGGTTATACTTATAACAGCATCATTTTTTTAAGATAGAGCTAGATTTATTTATTTATCGATCTTCAGTTGTACTGATGTAACCTTGATTGCTTACACAAGCTATGTATATGTTGAAGTTGTTATTGTACTAGTTTATTACTTATAACTGTAGTGTTTTTGGTAAAGCTAGATTTATTCGTGTATTCATTTTATTTTGTACAAGCGTAGCTTTGATTGTCGAGACCCCGAATGGAATACGGATGTACATAAACCAAAAGGTCGGCCATGTTAGACTATGTTTGTTTCCAGATTAGAAAGTCACGACACACGCGGGTTGGCGCTTGTGTGATAAGCCAAGCATACCAAACTGTTTATTTGTGGTCGCATGTTTGAAAGTAGCGACCACGACGTTTGTCAATAACTCCATTTATGTCTCCTCATTAAGGATATCATCATTTGCCTACACGTATAGGTGTGTGGAGACGTTTTCAAAAGAATGTTTCAGTCAGGCGACTTTACCATAATACAAAAACAGACATAATGATTAAAACATATATTGTAATCACCATTTATCAAGCATTTTATTACTTGTTGCAAGTACCAGTATATGAAATGTTTTCAAATCATGCACTTAATTAGTCCAAAAGATATTATCTCTTAATGGGACTGGTATCTGCAACCCGAAACAGCAACTAATAATTATCCGGTAGAGCAGGGTCGGGGTCGTTAGGGAAGATCTCACAAGGAAAGGCTTGCCCCCACTGGAACACGTTAGTCATGCCGCACCTGGCCATGTGGTTCCGTGAGCTTGGAGGGAGCTGACTAAATCTCTGACATGCCCCCTGCTGCCAGATATCGGGTTCCCACTGGTTCTCGGGGGCAAGATAGGCCTGAAATTGATCATTTTCAAATAAATTACTAAGACGAAGACAAAACTAAATTTGATCCTATATACAATAATTCCATAGCCAAACTAAAAAATGAGATGTTTACACGATCAGATCGCTTTTGACTGAAAATGTATTATTTTCCGTTACGCATTTACAGAGAAAATACATGTATGTCGTTTCTAATTATTTTGTAGACGCTTGGGAGCACATACGGTAGTCTCCAATGTTTTGCAATACATTCTGCCCACGCGTCTTTTTAGATCAACACTTCTGAAACACACAATGTGCATGACTTGTGTTTGTTCTCATTTTCCTCTGCACCCCATGCGTTCTCATCAATTTACCTTTAAATAAAACCAACCACCCTCAGTTCTCGAACAATCCATCATGGCGTCCAACATCCAGTAATGGTAGCCCCATTTGTTCCGCGGTGTGTACCCTACACCATCTCTTTCGGCTATCAAATTGTCGTACCGGCTGCAAAAATTGTGAAGTTTGTAGTATTTTTCTTTGTTTTATAATACAATTTCTATATGGTATTTTTTTTCTAAATAGTAGTTATAACGTTTAGATGCGTGCACGTGCGTTTTTAATCCACATGGTATTTTTTATCAAACTCTTGGTATTTTGTAATCAAAGCAGGCATATGCTCCACTCCCTAGGAGTAGGATAGGATTAAATGAAACACCGATGCCACAATTTCCTGCTGAATGGCTCATCAGCTGTTAAATTGAAACCCGTGTCATTTAATGCTTGGTGATTACCTTAATGCAAACGATGGCTATTATGAATGATGATCTGACTGTGTTTATTGCCCGTCTATTCACACAAGGTCACCTTGTATACATACTAGATATATCTACAGCCAAAGTCATCAGGAGGGCACCAACGACCCCGTGAATATCGCTCGTGCGTGGTCCAAGTCATTGGCGTTCCCTGGGCCGGGGTTCCCGGAGACCCTGCCGTCGCCCCTGGCAGGGTTCCTTGGCCCTGTTCGGCTCCGTACCAGTCCAGGTAGTTGTCCCCTTGGCTCCAGGCGCTGTACTTGCTCCCCCAGCGGCTTTTCCAGATGTGGCGCAGTGGTATGCGACAGGGGTCATTGTTTCGGACACAGTCTGGCCGGCGAGCGTGATCTATACCTTTATGAAAAGAGATACCTGTAGTGTTGTTTTGTGTATGCATGGAAGAGATGTGAATGTGTAAGAAAACAAAAGAAATAGCATCAGCCAAAAAAAGTAAATTATGACAATAGCATGTTGTGGCAAATAGTTGATTTTTTTATTTTTCTACGCTGAATGACTGTTTCAACCCTTTAATATAAAATACACAAAGCAGATCCTCTACCAAAATTATATAACAGAATGTAATAGGGAATTCAGAACAGCGACCTAATAGATCCGCAGATCAAATTTGGCGACCCACTCAAAAACTTGCCGCTTAATTCCCGATTAGACACTGAATAATTCCCCGCCGGTATTACGTAACAAGCATTCAGGTGGGTCGGCCATATTTGATCCGCGGATCTGTCCTGAATGCGCTCTAGGGAGCCCTTCCTTTTTGATAAAAGTATATATCCAGATAAATCTGTGTCAATGATGTAGTTACTCATACAAAGTAAACAGCTTTAAGAAGATAAAAACTCCCAAATTCTTTACCTCCTCTCAAGAAGACATACTCCGACGGCGTAGTATTTCTGTGGATAAAGATGATGGTCCTTTGCCAATCGCTGCAAATTGAAATCTTGATCAAGAGACATGTTAGTACTTTGAAACATCTTGGTTACGTTTTCGATCATTAACTACCCCTTCCCCTTTTTTGGTATAAATACCCTCCCGCCATGCTCCCCTTTCTTTTCAGTAAGTTTCGCTATTTTTAAATCATTATATAGGGATGTAAAGCAGTTGCTTGAATTAACGTCTGTTGATATAGATATAGATATATCTAAGTTTTGGTCTTTCCGAAAATATAACATTTATGTGTGATGTTATTTAGTTAGAGTCTATGTTGTGAGACCGAGCCAACGTATATGACATCAACTGATAAAACTTGACCCTGTGGCTTTAAACGTACAGTAATCGTATAATTTTTAGGCTGTACTTCTGTGACAATCTTGAAAAGGTCGATTTACCTCAAATATTAACATGAAAATATCCGTGTTGGCTATTATATGGCGCCGTTCGTAAAAGGTATTTATCTTAACGTGACAACTCAGTCGCATTGTCAGCCATTTGAACATTCTGCCATACTACTGAATAATGAAAACCACACACACACACACACACACACACACACACACACACATGTAATCGTACTGCAACAGTACTTACCTCTCTGCCTCCACCAGATGACCAGCTAAGACGCTGTACAGGACCAACAGTGGACCCACAGGCAGCAACATTGTGTCGAACTTTTTAGAGAGCTTACCAACAGTGACTCCCCTAACAGGATCTAACTGCTCTACTTCTAGTTTGGGCTTCATTCACTATTTCATTACCCCGATTTATGGGTTCTGTTAGTACATAGCAATAAATGTTATAGTAAAAACAACTGAAATTTCGTTGCTCAAATCAAGAAGGCACGATAGTGAAACATGATAGAGCTCGGTAAAACCGTAGCATAACATTAAACCCAATAAAACAAATAATAGCAGTATGATTGCGAAATAATTATATCAGTCGTTATGTTTTTATTCAGATAATGGGCACAAAATTGTTGAAAACAGATGCCGAATACCATATGTCAGTCACGACGTCTGCACAGATGTTACAAATATGCGTCTGCCGCCCTTCCTCGAGCTTGATACTGCTACTGGTATGGTAGTCTACTTTTTTTTATGTCGTCTCTGAATTATGAATTATGTTGCACAATACATCCATATGAATACAATGCAGTTTAATGAAGATATCAAAGCCCGTTAGGTGTGTGACAAACGCAATACCAACCTGATTTTCGAATACTGTTTATTATTACTTTGTATCATTATTATCATTTACCATTTTATATCGACTTTATAAAAATAACCAACTAAATCAGAATATGAAAAAGCTGTGTAAAACAAAGGCGCTTATCACAACGACTAATACGAAATAAGGCCTGACTCCTGTATTCGAGTTAGTCGCATACACCAGTTTAGTCCCCCAAGCCGTCTTTATTTTTCTTATCGGTGGGACCGTTCGTCCATAGGCTTTATTAAAACACCTTTCCCTCATTATTTCATGCTTATGCTTGTTACATTTTCTCTCCAGCTCTCTGTCCGACGCGTTCTCTCCTTTTACTCTCTTTAAACACGCGTCTCTTTCCCGAGGATTTAAACCTTGGCACTTGGTGAAGTCAAAATCTATTGACGTCACTTCCTGTGGAATTCCGTCACCGCCGTTGCAGTAGCTGGTTGTGCACGAGACCACACAAGATTTTGATTGGCCGTTTGTGTTGCAGAAATTCCCACGCGAGAGGTCCTCACAATTGCGTGACACTGACACAACTTTCCCTGTGTAAGAAAGAATGAATTAAGATTTACTAGTGAGTTGCTTAGGGAAAAATATGTACGTTGTGGTGGGGTTAGGATTTACGGGAGCCAATGCGTTCAAATTGCTCTGTAAGACTGAAAGGGAAACGCCCCTGTCTGAGGCCTAAAATTAATTTTTAAAAATATCAATTTCTTGTCATTTGCAATCATTTTCAATAATCAAAGCATGTTTCAACACCTACCTCTGATGAATTCAACAGAAGACGTACAATACTGCAACTCACAGGGCACAGTGCTGATGCCTTTGAACAGCCCGGGTCTATCTACACACGCCGTGTCCTCATCCGACCGCGTGTAGCTACAGTGGTAACATGTCTTGGGGCGCCGATGCTTCTTGGTACTAGTAGTGAGAGTCGTTGTGATCGCTGTAGTATTGTCTGGTATATCGGTGACACTGTTATTTCCTACCGATGCAAAATGAGTATTATTATAATGTAGACACTGCATTATCAACAACGAAAACTTTCTTGTTCGTAATAAATGTGTTCAAAAC